TAAACATCAGAGAATTCATACTGGTGAAAAACACTATGAATGTAATGAATGTGGAAAGGCCTTTAGTCAGTGATCACATCTTACTAAACATCAGAGAATTCACACTGGTGAAAAACCTTATGAATGTGAGGAGTGTGGGAAAGATTTTACTCATGGCTCACACTTAATTAAACATCAGAGAATTCATACCGGTGAGAAATCTCATCAATGTAAAGAATGTGGAAAGGCCTTTATTCATGGTTCAAATCTTGCTCAACATCAGAACGTTCATGTTGGTAGGAAACCCTCTGAATGTGAGAAATGTGGGAAAGCCTATATCTGGAGTTCACACCTGACTCAACATCAGCAAATTCATACTGGTAGGAAGTCTCATGAATGTAAGCAATGTGGGAAGACTTTTATATGGGCCTCATACTTTGCTCAACATGAGAAAATTCATAATGAAAGGAAACCCTATGAATATAGGGAATGTGGAAAGACCTTTCTTCATGGTTTAGAGTTTACGCAACATCAGAAAATTCATACCGGTGAGAGAAACTATGAATGTAAGGAATGTGGAAAGACTTTTTTTCGTGGTTCAGAACTTAATCGACATCAGAAAATCCATACTGGAAAGAGATCATATGAATGTGAAGAGTGTGGAAAAGCCTTTCTCTGGAATTCACAACTTACACAACATCAGAGAATACATACTGGTGAGGAACATTATGTATGTAAAGTCTATGGGAAATCTTTTATCTGGGGTTCACAGCTAACACTGTGAACATAGCAAAATTCATAATGATACAGAACCCTATAAAAATGTAAAGAAGTGGCCAGATCTTTAGTCACCATTCGTGTTTTGCTGAACAGAAAATTCACAATGATGAGAATCTCTATCAATGGAAAGATTATGGGAACAATGTTGAGGTCCTTTAATGGACCGGAACCTGGTGGTACGGAGTCGATGATAAGAAAGTAAAAGAGAGAAAGAGAGAGAGAGACAAAAAAAGACCCGGGGACCTAAACTCTGATGGAGCAAAGGTGCTTTAATGATTTTTCTATGAGTATATATAGGCTGTGGTACAAGAAACTTCTTTCGGGAATGATAGACATCAGAAAACCAAACGTACGGCAACCGTTACCAAGGGAACAAGGGGTAATGTTAGTCACAAGGTCAAGAGACAATCCATATCTCAAGAAAGGGGAATGAGACTAAGCAGTTTTGTCCTAAAGAGAATGTTTACTAAAGGAGACCCAAGCCTGCCTCACACAATGACCTCAGTCCCTGGGAGCAGCTTGCTCTTCCGCTTGAAGAGGGACAAAGGACTCATGAGAGACAGCATGTAGGAATCCTCCTGTAAAACATTCCCTGACAGAACACCACTGATCATGACTGTGACTTTGCTCAATACCAGAATATTTACACTTTTGAGAAATCCTGTGAGCATAAAGATTTTGAAATGGCATTTTCTCCAGGCTCTCACTTTTATTTCACTCTTGTGAAATCTTGTGATATAAAAATGTGGGAAAAATCTTTATTCATGTTAATTGTTAATTGACTTCAGTTAATTCCTTTTTTTGAGAATGCCTGTAATGTAAATAATATTGGAAAATCTTTTCAAAGCATACAACACACTCAACAAAAGGAATTAGAAAAAATTCCTAACACAATGTATATTAATAGAGGAAAACATTTATTGAGTAGTCGTCAATTATAGGCTATCAGGGCAAAGCCATACAAATGAGATGATAGTGTGAATCCTTTTGAATGATTCTTAAAAGATTCTCCATATCATTTTATGCTACATAGACTTAAAGCCCAAATCATGTAGGGAAACTGCATTACTACTTAAATCTTGTTGCACTTCCCCAAAATCATACCAAAGGCAAATTTGTCTTGCAATTAATCTGGAAAAGCCTTGAGCTATGTCATACAACTTATTTGGTATGTCTTAGTTCTGGTGTCTTTTACCTCCTAATTTTTTGGGCAACAACTTATTTCTGTGTCTGTTTGCTTACTTATTAGATTGTAAGGGTTAAATGAGTTTGATGATTTAAATGACTTAATGACCATCTTTAAGACTAGTATTTTAGACTATTTCTATGAGAAGAAAACCTTGAGTATAATAATTACAGACGAATGTGCCATTTGTATGTGTGTCTTATTGAAGAGCAGAATTTTAATTATGAAGATAAACCAGTAAAATCTAATGAAGCAAAACAAGCTTTGATTCAGTATTAATTTCATTTGCTACATAAACTCATACTATAAAGAAAGCCTTATGGTTTAGTGAATGGGGTTGTTGAGTGCTCAGTATTTTTTTAAGGCATTTGGAAATGATTTGTTTCTAACAAATTTCTAAAGCCAAGTGTCATTATCCATTTTATCACCACAGTTAAATTTTGGAAATTAGAAAATAGTGGAATGAATTCTGACCTCTTAGAAATTGAGTACTACATATGTAAATAATTCTCAGATTAATAAGTAAATCAGAAGTGAAATTATGGCTCTTTGGATGTGAGTGATAATGAAACTCCTGTAAGTAAAATTAGGAATGTAACCATAGACTTCTCAATGGAAATGCTTTATGTATAAAACCAAGAAGATTGAGGGCAGTTTATTTCCTGTCACCACTGTATCTCTAGCTCTTAGAACAGTTCCTGTCATATTGTTGGGTCCAAATATTTGTTAAGTTAAATGATGATTACTCAAGCTAGAATAAGAGCAAATGCCCCCGAGTAAACTGATGAAAATGTTTAATGAAAATAATGCCAAAATCATGGAATAAAGAACAGAGGTTTTTTATTTTAAAGCTGAATGTTATGTATTTTATTTTAAAATATATATTTATTTAATTTTTTTATTTGGCTGCACTTGGTCTTTTTTTTTTCCATTTATTTTTATTAGTTGGAGGCTAATTACCTTACAGTATTGTAGTGGTTTTTGCCATACANAATGAAGTTTATTTTCTAGGAAAACATCTTAAATGATTAAAATTTGAGAGTAAATGAAGAGGGCTAATTGGAAAAAACCATTTTTTAAAAAAGTCATGTAGGACCAGATAATTGTACAGGCTACCCTCTGAAGGAACAGAAAATCCTATGGAAAAGTTGTTCCCTCACACTAAAAGACTACCATAATTCTGATAATAAAATTAGATGTAAAGTAGCCCTTGAACAAGAAATTCCAGAATAGTGCCACTTACACATGAAAAAAAAAATATGATAGTCAAATGATATTTACTCAAAATGTTTAACTTCTGATCTGGATAGATGGTAATTCTAGTTTAAACAACAGCAAGATATTATGAAAATGTACCTTCTCAGTTTAGTACTTGATTTATTCTATGTGCATTTTCTTAGTACCTTTTAGTATTACATGAGTTAAGGAATGCTGAATATGTGTATTTATATTTAGTGCATTTATAATTCAGTTATTTAGCAGTAGTTAAACAATATTAGGGAAGAGTCATTCCCTCCTTAATTACTGTCTTTTATGGAATTCCACAACTCATGGAAAACATGAAAATTTTTGTTACATGGGTTTATTATTAATAAACAAACCATTCATGCTGACTGAATTATTTTTAAGGTGACAAGTACACAAAGAAAAATAACATTTAGAGCTTTCTGGACATCCATATACATTTAAGTAGGATGTGTTCCTGTTTTCTTTGGCCTAGACTGCCTTGTTTAAGTGTATTGTCTTGCTGCTATCTCCTTCATGGTGAATTTCTGGATCTCATTGAAATACTGAGGTACATGCTTCTTGAACTCCACTCTATTGATATGTTTGCAGATATTGATAATGTCTTCTCTAGTCTGTCTTACAGGTAACAGAATGGCCCTTAGTTTTTTCCTAACCACCGTTCTTTGCAGGAGCCATTATAGTAGGACCATTTTGGGAAAGAACTTAATAATTAGTCTTAATACAACTGGATAAAATGTAGGGGGAAAAATTAGGTTCATGCTAGGCAGTATAAAGTAGGGTAAATTCCCAACGAAAGGTCTAAATATTTTTAAAGGAGGGGGAAAAAATGAAACTTTATTACAGGAAAACATGAGTGAATTCCTTTATAACTTTGGAACTGAGATATCAATAACTGTGATTCAAAAATCCAGTGAAAATGAGGAAGAGGTCAATTTTTTGTAGAACTAAAGCCGTATCAACAAAGATAAAGGAAAATCACAAATTAGAGATATTTGCAACTATATCACATACTCATATTCTTAAAGAGCCTAAAAGTTGAGATGAGAATATAAGATCACTACACTGAAATACCACTTTATACCAATCAGATGGACAGGACTCCAACAAGGTATTAAAATATTCTATTGGCAAGACTGGAAAAACAAGGACTCTCACATTGATGAAAATGTAAAATAATATAACTAATACAGGAGAGAACTGAGCAATGTCCATGTGTAATATATATATATATATATATACACACACACATATATATATATCTTAAGACCGAGACCCTTGCTTCTAAAGATACACTGGTGAAATTACAAAATGTGGTATGCATAAATTTTTTAAAAATGCTGTGTGTGAGTGCAGCAGGCTAGAAATAAGATGTCCAACATAAACTAGATGAATTAACTTCATATTTATCTAACAGTGGGATATCATGTAGCTGTATCCTAATAGGGAATGATCTTCAGGATACATTAAAGAAGAACATAGGTAAGTGGAGAATAATATGTATATTATTCTAATATTTGTGAAAGGAAGAGAGGAATACTATATATGCCTATACTTTAAAAAAGAAATAATCAAAATGAAACACCAGTAGGGAGAGGACTCTGTTTCTGCCTCACAGAGGGAGAATACACAGTCACTAAAGGGCTCAGCAGCCAAGGATGTTAGAAGGCGGCAGGTGCGCCTGTCACACAGCCACAAAAGCTCGCGCACACACATCCGGCGCTGTGGAATATAAAGGGTATTAATAACCTATTTCACTTTACTCAAGTGACTCCTCAGAGGTTCTAGAAAACCTCAGAGGTTACCAGACCTTGAGTCTTGCAGTGATGCCTTCCGAGAAATAGTAGTCCAAGACTGAAAAAGCTGCAGAAGTCTAAGAAGTAGGGCCCAGATTTCTCAGACAGAGCTCTGGTTTGGATGCGTGACGGTGAATACCATGTTACTGCTCAAAGGGGTTCAAGGGTGTGATGCTTGCTTCATGGTCGTGGTGGGTGTGTGTGTCCTTGTGTGTGTGCGGGCAGATGCACAAATATCCTCTACTGGGGAAGGGAAGACTGTAGGGAGTGTGATGTGTGTCAGACTGTGCTTGAGTCTGAGAAATGTTAGTGGATAAGCATATACTCTATTTGGGATTGTTAAAGTGTCTAGGGATGGTGTGACTATAGCTTTAAGGGTGATGTCTGGGATTAATCAGTATGACTGAGTATTTTATAACTTGTTAAGAAAATGATTTTTCTTTATTTGCATGGTTGTGTACTTAGATTCCTATGAAATTATAGAAGTGTTAAGTGAAAGATACATGGGGAGTTCATCTGTAGCAGTGAATGCACGCACAGTATTATAAGAATGGGTATTATTGTGTCATCATGCAGCTCTGTGTAATACTGAGATCTTTAAGCTTCAGTGTCCTCGCCTGTAAAACAAAGCTAACATTCATGCAGTGTTGTCCAACAGAAATTTCTGCAGAACTGGGTTACATGTTGAATGTCTGTGCTATCCAGTATTGTAGCCACTGGCCACATTTGTCCACTGAGCACCTGAAATGAGACTAATTTGACTGAGGGATGAAATTTTAAATTGTTTAATTTTAATATATTTAAATAGCTATTGTGTTGAAAACCGTGAAAGTGTTACTCAGTTGTGTCCGCTTCTTTCAACCCCATAGACTAGATTGCCAGGCTCTTCTGTCCATGCAGTTCTCCAGGCAAGAATACTGGAGTGTCGCCATGCTCTTCTCCAGGGGGTCTCCCCAACCCAGGGATTGAAAGTGAGTTTCCTGCATTGCAAGTAGATTCTTTACGGTCTGAGCCACCTATGACAGCCTGAAGCATCAATTTAACTTCAAGAGTTGGAGGGGGAGAAACGTAAATAATTTCATCTAGCAAATAATTTGAAAAATGAGAAATGAAATGAAGAGAAATATATATTGAAATGAAGAGAAATGAAAAATGCAAATTCAGCTTTAGTCTTTATTGGGGGGATAATTTGCCTAAAGTCCACAAACATTACTATATACCTTAGGGATTTTTTTTTTTTTAACATACCACACACATCAAGATGAAGAACAGGGATACCAGAATGTTCCCTTTTACTCCAGCCTGGTCAGTTCTGACTCTACCTACAAATGACCATTATTTGGACTTCTAGCACTGTAGATTAGTTTTGTGTATTCTTGAACTTCATTTAAATGCAGTCAGTGTAATGATATGTGTCTGGCCTGTTTTTAGTCAACATTATGGCTCTTGAGATGAGTCCTTTAACCAGCTAGTAAATATTTTAGGTTTTGTGGCCCAAATGTTCTCTGTCACAACTGCTCAACTCTCTCAGTATAGCATGAAAGCAACCATAGACAACATGTATACAAATGAATGTGGCTTTATTCCAGTAAAACTTTATAGACACTGAAATATATAATTTTGATGTTACAAATTTTTTTTTTACATCCTTTAAAAGTACAAAACCTTTCTTAGGTCATTGGCCATACAAAAATAGGTGACAGGCCACATTTTGTCCACAGGCTACAGTTTTTCAGTTCTTGCTATAATTTATCCATTCTGTGGTGACAACAGACATTTGTGTGGTTTCCAGGTTTTTGGTTATAATGAATAAACCTGCCATGATTGACCTTAAAATATCTTTTGGTAGACATAGCATTCATTTCTATTAGGAGTCCAAGAGTGAAATAGCTGGATCATAAAGTATTAATAGGTTTACATTTATCTGTGGAAGTACACTGTCAAACTATTTCCCAAAGTATTTGTGTCAGTTTACACATATATCAGCAATGTAAAGGATTTCAGTTGCTCCATATCCTCTTAAACACTTGGTATTATCCATCTTTTTAATTTTTACCATACTAGTAGGTGGATAGTAGTATCTCGGTGTGATATTTATTTGCATTTCCCTGATACTCACTTTAGCATTGATTCATATATTGGCCATTTGGATGATCATTATGCTGAACTGCCTTTTTCACTCTTGACCATTTCATTAAAATCAGTTTGTGTTTTTTGCTATTTGTTTATAGGTGTTTTTATATGCTGGGATATGAGGACTTTGTAAGACATATTTATTATGGATATCTTTCTGGGGGTATGGCTTGCCTTTTCACTGTGATAATGAAGTCTTCAAGAACAGATGCTCTTAATTTGAATGAAGTTCACTTTATTAATCTTTTGTTTATTATTGATGTCTTTGCCTACCATAAAGACATGAAGGTAGAATTCTGTTTTTCTTCTAGAGACAGTTATTTCACCTTTCTCATTTAGAGCTATAATCCATCTCAAATTAATTCTTCTGTTTATTTCTTTTGAGGTGAGGGTCCAAGTTTTTTTTTTACCATATGCATAACAAGTTGTTCTAGAACTATTTATTGAATTGCAACAGTGCATTTGTAATAGGACTAGTGACCTTATATGTGTGCATGTTTTCTGTACTCTTATTTTGTCTCTTTGGTATATTTAGCTATTCTTGTACTTATACTGAACTGTTTTAGAATAAATATTGAAATATGGTATACATTTTAAGCTTTATTCTTTTTCATTATATTGGGTATTCTAGGCCTTATGCAATTCCATATATATTTTGAGAACTGGTGGTTAATTTAAAACCTAGAGGAATTTTAACTGGCATTTCTTTGACTCTTAAAAAAAAAAAGTGAATTGTTTTAATACTGGATTTTCCAAGTCACAAACATAGTATATCTCTCATTTTCTTTAGGTCTTCATTAATTTCTCTCAGCAATGTTTTATAAGTTTCATTGGAGAAGTTTTATACCTTTTAAAAAGCTTTATCTAGATATAATTAACATACCAAGAAGTTCTCACATTTAAAGTGTTTAGTTCAAGTGGTTTTTAGTATATTCACAGTCATACAACCATCCCCACATTTTCTGGTTTTAGAACATTATCATCACCTGAGAAAGAAACCCTATATCCATTAACAATCATTACCACTTTCTGTCCCCCTACCCCCCAGTTCCAGGCACCCATTAATCTTCTATCTTTATCTGTATAATTGCTTATTCTAGACCTTCCATATGAATTGTTGTTGTTGTTCAGTTGCTAAGTCCTGTCCGACTTCATGACCCCATGGACTGCAGCACTCCAGGCTTTCATGTCCTTAACTATCTCCCAGAGTTTGCTCAAATTCATGTCCATTGAGTCAGTGGATATGAATAAAATCATACAATATTTGTTTTCTTTTGTGACTGGATTCTTTCGCTTAACCTATTTTTAAGGTTTATCCTTATTGCATGTATCATCAGTATTTTATTACTCTTTATTGCTGATACTATTCTATTGTGGGGCTTCCCAGGTGGCGCTAGTGGTAAAGAACGTGCCTGCCAGTGCAGGCGATTCCGGGGCCGGGAAGATCCTCTGGAGGAGGAAACGACAACCTACTCCTGTATTCTTGCCTGGAGAATCCCATGGACGGAAAGCCTGTTGGGCTAGAGTCCATGGGATTGCAAAGAGTTGGACACGATTAAGGCGACTTAGCATGCACATTCAATTGTACATATCTATGCCACATAACTTAGGAGAAAACATTCAGTCTTTCTCCATTTATTATGAAGTTAGCCGTGATTTTTCATAGATGCCCCTTATTTGAAGAAGTTTTTTTTCTATTCTGAGTTTGTTGAGTGTTTTTATCATGAAAGGATAAAGAATATTGTTAAATATTTGTCCTGTGCCATGTGCTTTCTGTCCTTCATTCTATTATCTTCAAGAACAGATGCTCTTAATTTGAATGAAGTTCACTTTATTAATCTTTTGTTTATTATTGATGTCTTTGCCTACCATAAAGACATGAAGGTAGAATTCTGTTTTTCTTCTAGAGACAGTTATTTCACCTTTCTCATTTAGAGCTATAATCCATCTCAAATTAATTCTTCTGTTTATTTCTTTTGAGGTGAGGGTCCAAGTTTTTTTTTTACCATATGCATAACAAGTTGTTCTAGAACTATTTATTGAATTGCAACAGTGCATTTGTAATAGGACTAGTGACCTTATATGTGTGCATGTTTTCTGTACTCTTATTTTGTCTCTTTGGTATATTTAGCTATTCTTGTACTTATACTGAACTGTTTTAGAATAAATATTGAAATATGGTATACATTTTAAGCTTTATTCTTTTTCATTATATTGGGTATTCTAGGCCTTATGCAATTCCATATATATTTTGAGAACTGGTGGTTAATTTAAAACCTAGAGGAATTTTAACTGGCATTTCTTTGACTCTTAAAAAAAAAAAGTGAATTGTTTTAATACTGGATTTTCCAAGTCACAAACATAGTATATCTCTCATTTTCTTTAGGTCTTCATTAATTTCTCTCAGCAATGTTTTATAAGTTTCATTGGAGAAGTTTTATACCTTTTAAAAAGCTTTATCGAGATATAATTAACATACCAAGAAGTTCTCACATTTAAAGTGTTTAGTTCAAGTGGTTTTTAGTATATTCACAGTCATACAACCATCCCCACATTTTCTGGTTTTAGAACATTATCATCACCTGAGAAAGAAACCCTATATCCATTAACAATCATTACCACTTTCTGTCCCCCTACCCCCCAGTTCCAGGCACCCATTAATCTTCTATCTTTATCTGTATAATTGCTTATTCTAGACCTTCCATATGAATTGTTGTTGTTGTTCAGTTGCTAAGTCCTGTCCGACTTCATGACCCCATGGACTGCAGCACTCCAGGCTTTCATGTCCTTAACTATCTCCCAGAGTTTGCTCAAATTCATGTCCATTGAGTCAGTGGATATGAATAAAATCATACAATATTTGTTTTCTTTTGTGACTGGATTCTTTCGCTTAACCTATTT